GCTGTAATCTTTTGCAAAATGATAGGTTTTAATGCCCTTTTTAAAATGGAATGGGCATGTCATCTTTCTCGAATATTGTCCTATATAAACTTCTCTGTGATGAGTGGAATCAAACTTTGTAAACATGAGTGACCCAAAATAGCCCTTATTGTTTAATGCAGCACAGAAAGAATTGCCCATAGTTAATCCTTTAATTGAAATAATTGAATTGGGATGAATATTAATGTTCATGCTGAGACTTTATATTCTGAATTATTTGTTTGTGAAATAAGTAGCATTATAGCACTTAAGACATATATCATTTCATAGTGCTTTACAGCCCTCTCTAAGCGGTTTACAGAATCAACATATTGCCCCAACAATCTGGAACAAGTACCATATTTGGGTATTGTTAGCTTCTTTTTTATATTATTTATATATTATTTATATAAATTTTATATAATTTTTGTATTAGATAAGGCAAAGATAGGCAGCATTTTTTTTTAAGAAAATCACACACACACACAACTGAGACATCTCAGATTGGAATATGTGAAAAATTAACAATGGACAAGGAGAATCTCAACAGCAATAAGCAATTGAAGTGAAGCCACAAAGCTTGGTGAAAAATTTAGCACACATTTGATTATATTCCCTGCTTTAAAAAAAACATCTTAGATCCATTTTTTATGGAGCATGACTGGGAAGTATGATATTCAATTCTCTTAAAAATGTTCTGACTTAATAGTCCAGTAAGAATGGCATATGCTCCACTTACCATCTTTAATTTAGAACTATCTGAAGGAATACAGCTGTCATGAAGATACAATAAAGATGGGGGGCTCTTGAAAGAAACTAAGCAGTGAGTCAAGTAAAATTATTGCGGGGGAAAATGAAGATTCCTAGAGTAGGGGTCCCCAATCTTTTTGGCACCAGGGACCAGTTTCTTGGAAGATAATTTTTCCATGGACTGGAGTGGGGACACAGTTTCAATTCGCTCACTCATCCACCACTCACCTCTAGCTGTGTGGCCTGGTTCCTAATAGGCCACAGACCAGTATCAGCCCATCACCTTGTGGGGTGGGGGATTGGATACCCATTCTGGAGAAGGTATAGTTCACAAATGATACATGGCCTCATTAGAAGATCTTAAATTACATGGAGTACATGGTGTTTTAAACTGGGGGGAAAATCTTTTTTGTACAAGAAAATCCACTATGGTTTGAAGCAGAGACGGCTGATCTGGTCTATGTTTATCTAGAATAATTGAGACTGGTCAATTATTTAACTCAGAATAAAAGTGGTTCATAATTTAACCACATAGTTCAATTCCTTTGCTGAAGGTTTCACACATCATGCCTTGCAAACAACACAGGATGATATTCTGTTGGTAGGCAATGAAATAAAATTGAAAGAGAGCTATCTCTGATCCTGACGGCTAATTATTTTAAACAAATGTTTGGGAACTTCAGTTAGAACTGATGTTTTATTATTAGTTAATGATAAATTACTTAATATTACATAAAATATAAATATTATATTAAAAAGATAATAAATGTTTTTAAAACGTAACCACACTTGTGTTAACTTTTAGCAAAGAACTCTTCAAAACTTGCCTATTGTATAAAAAATGGTGTCATCTAAATTATTAGAACACACATGTTGCTTTATGTTTTTATCATATTTATTTGTCATAATGTGCAATAATAAGTTATATATACAAAATTACACAAAATTGTTACAATATTTATCAAGAATGCAGGACTAACCTTGCCTTTTGCTGCTTTTTAAATTACAGTGAAAAGCTTCTTTCTATTTTAAACAAAATATTAAATATTCCTTTGTTCACATTGTGCTGTTGATTTCAAAGCCTTGATATTCCCCAGACATAAAATATGTATTTTTAAACAATTACCAAAACAAATCTAATGGCAATTCTTTAGTTCTCCAAGATAACTTTGTCAGTAGGAAGTGGGGATCTGAATTATTATTTATAGCTTGCAGCTACATTTTCGTGGAGATGCAGAATAAGCAGTCGAAATTATTGCATGTTATAATCCCAAAATTATGACCCAAAGGCATTTTTAAAAATGTTTGTGGATTCTACCAAAACTAATACTACAAAGCTGGAATGAAAAACTAAATCCAGTTCCCAACAATGAACCTATGGGATTACTTTATTATGTCACCATCTTAAAAAAAGATAGCCTCCCTTGGTTCTAGTTTAATGCATGTGTACTTGATACATTTACCTTCTTTTCTTAGCAACAGTACACAACCAGCTTGTCAAAGTCTTATTGTGGCAGTTTTATCCACCTATTATTATTTGTGATCTAGAAGGCTCAAGATCAACCTTGGCTAGATCCTGCCACCTGCTATGACAATTGCCTCCTACCTCTGGATAATTGTCATGGAGCAGATGTTGAGCAGACCACAGTGGGTAGTCTTCTTCTGCCATACAACATCTCATGGTGTAATGGTTAATGTGTGGTATTTTCAAACATTAATTCCATGGGGATTGCTTGGGTTTCCACTGAGCATCCACCTGAATAGTCACACTGTGCACTAGATTATATAGGCCGTGGAAGCTCAAAATAAAAGCCAAAGTTACTTCCTCCCTTTTTCAAGGTACTAATCTGACACTTCTATTTATTTGTATCTACCAAAATAGATTTAAAGGTTGCTTCCAGCTGCATGGGAAAAAGGAACTGTAACAAATATTGTGTTTGCAAATTAAGTACAGGAAATAATTCTATCATTATTCAGAGGAGAAAGGACACATCCGAGACAGTAAAATATATTTTAATGCAAGAACTCATAGGCTAACAAACTGGATGCTGCATGGAGATACACCAATATTAAATATTCATCTCAGTGACCCCCATTAGACTAGAATTTGATTTTTCTTATTTGGAATGAAGGCACTAGGGGGTTGGCCTAGTTATTATTTTCCTGAACATGAATTATAGTTTTATAGCATTTTCATTCACTCATGCTTCTTGTAATTAAAAATGTTTTAAAGGCATGTTGTTTCTTTTAATAATAATAACTTACTGAAATCTGTCAACATAGCAGTTTCTGATAGGTATATTAACAAACTTGCTAATTAAATTTCTACCAACTCTTGGGCTCTGAACTCATGATTCCTGGCATAAAAAGAGGGACTATTCCTTTCAAATCTATAAATAAAGACTACAGGCCATTGTATCCAAGGGCACAGTGTTTACACTAGGGATATACTATGATAAAACTCAATAGTTACTGTTCCCTCTTTTTTGCGTAAAGTGGGTTATCAGGATTAATCCCAGGAACCGATCCAAATGCAAATTTCTCAAGTGCTAAAAATAGGTAAGAAAGGATGAAGGCCCTATTGGGCACTATAACTCTGCAATGTAGATCATCATAACAAACATTAGATGTTCATATGATATTCCTGTAATCAATTCTTCCATGGATTTCATATTAAAACATATTATACAGTTATTTTAAATAATATTGGAAAAATCAGTACCTTTACATTAAATAAAATAATTTAGAGCAATACAGTTTTATTAGTCGGTACTTAGTCCAACATCCTACAGACAGAAAAGAAACTCGCCACTTCTGAGGAACCTGCATCCATCATAGATGATTGTGATATATTTAATTCACATGGAGCACAGATCCCTCTGGCAGATGGTCCACCAGCAGGGGAAAAGGTGAATTAAATGAAACACATCAGTGGTGGGATTCAAAAAATGTTACTACTGGTTCTGTGGGTGTGGCTTGGTGGGTGTGGCAGGGGAAGGATACTGTAAAATCTCCAGTCAGAGGTGGTATTTGCCGGTTCTCTGAACTACTCAAAATTTCCACTACCAGTTTCCCAGAACTGGTCAGAACCTGCTGAATACTACCTCTGAAATACATCCTCAAACATTCCCAGACTCCATGCAAATTCACATTCCATGAGAAATTGAGAATAGTGTTCTCATTTGCTCAGACATTATAAGCCAGATTTATTTAAAAAATAATCATAAGAGCTACACAGTCACATGACCACCAAGTAACACCCACCAACCAAGCCACGCCCACAGAACCGGTTGTTAAAAAAATTGAATCCCACCCCTGCATCACAGGAAAACTAAACATACCATGTACATTTCTGTTGGTGACTGCAACAATTCTAATCAAGAAATCTGTAATATTTTTAAATGCTTTCCATAAAAGTGTTTCAACAGTCATTAATTTCCTTTGCATCTAAAGTTGATCAATCTGATAGATTTATTAGAGGCTTCTTCCTCTCGTTAATGATGTCTTTTCAAGAACTAACAAATGTTCCCATTTATTTGTTCTAGTGCATAAAAGATGGCCCTGATCAGATGTTTATGAAATGCAATATTACATTAATAAATAAATTCTGCTTATATTATAAGTAGTTTTAAGTTTCCACTAGTATCTATGAAAATATTGCTGAAATTTCTGTGTGGACCACATACACAAACTCTTATTTGCTACAATTTGAATAAATTGGAATAAAGCTATAGATCTTGTAATAATGATAATACAGCCAACCATACCTACAGGCATGGATTTTTTCTTCCCCCAAATCCATAATATATGGGAGAAAAATTATAATTCAAAAAATACTTCTTGTAGCAGCACAGATTTTCACATAGATCACTATTTTTGATGTGACATATTCATTATCCAGGACTGAAACAAAATTAACCCATATTTCTTCAAAACAAGTAATGATACTAGTAGATTGATCTGTACTCGTGCTTGTAAATGGAACTGTAAATGAACTGTAATATCTTTGGGGGACATAAACAAGTCTTGTTGAAAAAGTCTTCAGTTTGAGCACTGTGTATTTGATTCCAAAAATCAAGAACAAACCCTTGGTGTGTTTTTTATTGTTTCAATAGCAAAAACGATACTGAAACAAAAGCTACAGGAGTTTCAAAAGTTTATCTCCTTCTGAATCCCTTTGTTATTTAAATCACTCCATCATCCTCTGGAAATGAAGTTCACAAAAATGCAAGTCAGGAGGTCACAGCTGGATCAGGCTTCGGCATCTCTTGGGCCCACTCTAAGATGTCTACGCACAGAGACTCTACGGCATCCAATCTCTCTATCTGAACCAGTTTTGTCAGCAGTTCTGGGATACTATACCCAGCTGTGCTGATGCGGTCAAAGACTTGCATGCCATCTGTCATGCCACCAATTTCGTCCCTCTTCAATCCAAAGCTCTCAGCAAGATGGCGCCAGGTCTTCACAATGGCTTTCTCGGTGTTGTAAGTGGAGCTGAGCATCCTGCTGGTCTTTTCCAGACAATCAAAGGGCAGCTCTGTGGGACTGAGGCCTGGAAGGAAGTTCACAGTCACCTTATTAGATCTGCCTTGTTACTATTTCACATGTCATTTCATTCTATTTTGCTGCTTTGATTTCATCTTATAGAAGAAGCTGCAGCAAAGATTGTTGAGTCTCTTACTTTATGTTTTGGAGCATTTTTTATTTTTACCTTGTCCTGGAATATATACTAATCCATTCTTTCTCTATCCCTTGTGATTTAAACACTTGCCAAACTTCTGCCAACCTTCATATGAAGCAACAACAAAATTTAATTAAAAGAAAGAGATGTGTGTCTCCAGCCTCAAAAAAGGCAGGAGAAATGGTCCATTTGTACCAGAACTGGGAATTTGAGTCTCATTGAACTACATGTCTGAACTGTTTCAGCCCACACAGCTCTTCATGAAGGATGGTGGAAGTATTAAATCATCTGAAAGGTCTCATGTTCAACAGCCTTTATGAGAAATTCAAAAGAACTTTCCTGCAATATTTTATTTTTTACTTGAGTGTGGGTGGTTTTTTTAAAGTCTCTTCATTTTGGGAGCAATGCACTCAGGATTAGTTAACTTCCCACATCTTGTTACGATTAAAAACAAATCCAGCTCTGAAAGTTTCTTTTTCTTCAAAGGCTCTAGCATACAAAACAGATGTGAACAGCTTATATCCACAAATGTGTAAGTTACTGTATATAAGGTGTATATGCTTTGCCTATTTTACAGTTTTTAAATAATGTACAGTATATCACAGACAGTTATTTTCTGAGTCTGGCTGCGTACAAATATAATTAATCAGCTTTAAAAAAACCTACAACAGAAGTATATTTTAACACTTTCCACCTTGTGCCATCTGTCTTCTAGAATAACTATTGAATTGATTCTTAAAATATCACAGATAAAGGCAGGATGCCTATGGAACTACAAATCCTATTACTGGAGTTTTTCACGGAGATTGCTTACAAAAGAAGTTTTCAAGACTTTTCCCTGTTGAATTTCCAAATGTACTAAACACTAACCTGATTCTGACATTAGAATATTTAGCGTTACTTCTTCCAAAATAAGCTTTAAGGAAAAAAATCCTTAGAATGGGATTAATCTGTATCTAGTATTTATGACTCCTTGGCAATATTGAAGCTCCATAAAGACGTGTACTTAAGAAAGCAGTTCATACGTGTTTTCAGTTTCTAAATTTTATTTCTTTTCACTCACCTTCTGCCACACTGCATACATTAGTGTATAGGTCGAGTATCTTTTTTCTCCGGCTTTGTATCTAAGGAAAATAAAAGACAAAAACATTTATCTTTCAAGACCAAACTGATGTAAGTAATTCAAGGTTGTGAAGAATCAGAGACAAAGATGGCATTCCTTATGTATTTGGTATGATATATAGAATAGTTTTAGTTTGAACATAAATTGCCTGTGAATCTTGGCTGTAATGTTAAAAAATGCATATATGTGTGCATACCTAGCTGGAAAGAAAGAATTGTATCAAAAAAAATTTTTTATTTTATTTTAATTTGATTTTTCAATCACTTACAAGATACAGGTATAAGAATAAACATAGTTTTGAATACATGAGATAGATAATTAAAATAAATAACAATAGGACAGGGACGGTAGGCATGATTGGTGCGCTTATGCACGCCCCCTACAGGCCTCTTAGAAAGGGGGTGAGGTAAATAGTAGACAGTCTAAGGTTAAAGTTTTGGGGGTTTGTTTTAAATTATGTTTTAAATGAAATCTACTCTTTTTATTTATGTTCAAGGCACACTGCTCTAGCTTGGATTCCTGTAATTTGGCCCTCAGGATTTTATTTCTCAGGAGGTATATATGGATTGGACGAACTATTCAACTCTTAGTTCTGAATCCATGGAAAGTGGGGAGGAAATACCAAGATTATTATTGATGTTGACAAGACTAAGGCAGCTTTAGGCAAGATTCTTCCATGTGGCTTCCTTGACATTACTGCTTCTCTTCTCAGTATGCAATCCTGTTTATTATTCTTGTTTAAAAAGAAATAAAGAGAGATCCCTTTTGTTCCTTCTTGTGCAGTGTGTCACAATGGACATGGAAGGCATGTTTTTGAAGACGTCTGCACTGCAATGATGAAGTCCACAGTTGTGGACTGGAGGTCTCAGATCTTTTCTCTCCCGAGCCCTGAGGGATTCATACCTTTCCCCTTCTTGTCCTTTGGGTGAGTGGCTTGGGGATACCTTACCTGGCATTGTAATCTGTGTTTATGCTTGCAATTTGGGAAGCTACAGACACTCACCCCACCCTCCATTCCTTCTTCCTCTCTGTCTTATGGTGTGGGCAGTTGCACACTACACTCCAACGGACTGGGAGTGTCAGTGGGGGCCTTTGTTCCAGGTTAGCACCTCCTTTCTCTGAGAAGTTATAAAGGTAATAATGATGCTGCAACATATTGCAATCTTTTTCAGAGGCCCTGGACCTACATGCCTTCATTCAGACTTATATGCATCACAGATTTCCCTGAGGGGTCAACAGCCTTCCTCCTACAAACATGCAGTAATGATTCTTGCAAGGATTTTATGCTTCTAAGAGGAAGGTGGGTTGGCTAAAAAAGGCAATAATAAAACTGCAGTTTGTTTCTCAAACATATCATTGCCATTAACAACTTTGCCTATAAAGCAGATATATAGTTGTATACATTTAATGAAAAAGCACCTATATCAAACTGTAAAGGCTCTGTATACTATCAAATCCACAAATATTGATGGCATATTTTTCTGATGAGTGCCAGACTTGTCACTTCCCTTCAGCAGCTGGTCACTCCCTCATGTAGCCATTTCATATTGGTCTGCTCAGTTCTGCATGCTTTTTTATACATAATTTGGCAGTTGATCCAACAGTGCCCTGATAAGATAATAATCTTCTCCCCTAGAAGCTCATATTCTATTCTATTCTATTCTATTCTATTCTATTCTATTCTATTCCATTCCATTCCATTCCACTCCACTCCACTCCACTCCACTCCACTCCACTCCACTCTACTCTATTCTGTCCCGTCCCATCCCGTCCCATCCCATCCCATCCCATCCCACCCAGTGGGCACCCATTCAATATCTGCTCATGTTGGATGAAGCATGTTCCCTTTCCTACCGTGTGCCACATTACTGCTAAACTTCGTTTTTCTTTATTTTTTTAAACATCATTAAGTTGCAATATAGCAACACGATTCCTTTGCTTCTATAAACCTGAACTCTCCATTTTTCTTGCTGTGAAATTTTTATGGACCCACAGTGGAAAGTAGGAGTAAAATAACGTGTTCCCTATTGTTCCGTTAATTGTGGCGTTAGAACTGCAAAACTGTGAAAATAAAATAAAAAAGCAAATGTCTGTCTTAGTACCAAAGAAGATCATCTGGGAAGAGGCTGGGACAGGTGAAGGTGTGCAAACATTTGGGAAAGCAGGGAAAAGCACAGGGATTTCTGAAGATTGTGTCTTTTTGGCTTGTAAGTAGCCTTTATCACAGTGTTTCTCAAACTTGCAACTTTAAGATGGGTGAACTTAAAGGCTATGGGATTCTGGGAGTTGAAATCCATCATTCTTAAAATTGCCAAGGTTGAGAAACACTGCTTTAGCAGTTTGATAGAAATAATATAATTCCACCCCATTTTTAGCATTTATCTCATCAGCTCATCACAAAGACTCCTTCATACATTCTTCTTTTGGATACTGTCCATTAAAAGTGCAACTAATCACTGTAACACATCATCAGAAAGGTCACTGATTCAACAAGATTTCCAATTAACTTACTCCAGTTGATTTGTTGTTTGTTGAAGATTTATCTCGAGCCAAATGTACCAGAGACAACAAACACAATTCTGGAGTCCCTTGCTTGTCAATAGCAGCTTCTTCATCGCTGTCCATGCTGCGACTTAAAAGCCTCTCATTCTCTGAAGAAGCATCGTTTTCACTGAAAAGCAACAAATGAACACATAAATATGCTAAGCAGGATTGCTTTTCTAAAACAGCAACATGCACAATTCCAGAAATGCCCTTTTGGATTTAAATTGCACACTTGTGTGGGAAGGAAAAAAATAGGCTATTGATCTATCAGATTCAATAAGGCATTTGGATGATAGCAGACCCCAGAATAAAAGAGACATGAACCAAAGTTTTAGGCAGGATGATTTCAAAATGTACCAGAACTATTTGTAATCCTGCTGTGCTATTTTGTGGAATGTGATTTTGCAAAGTATGTAGTTTTGAAAAGCGTGAGAAATAGAGAACAGAAAGTAGCCGATGGATAGAGGCTTGAGATATACACGGGTATATGTGGAGACTGTAAGAAAGAGCAGAGAAGTAAGTTGTGAAATGTGTGCAGAAAAATATAAAAAGAATGTCTTGGGATTTCTTCAGTCATCCTTGCCGGACTCAGCCATGTCGGTGGACCTCATTGCAATGAGCTATTGGATATAAGTTGTGTTATGATGGCTGTTCATGTTCCAAATTGCTCATGAAATAAACTTCTGATCTTAAAGTAGGTTTTATTACCTATGGTTTGTCTGTGTTCCTCATTTACTGAATTATTTGTATGACACTTGTTAATTGTTTATTTCATATAGATGATGAATACTACTACTAGATTGAGTGTAAATAAATACTGCAAAAAAGAGGGCAAAACATTAACACCCTTCACTTATATCTGCCAATTAATGTCTAGCAGTATATTTATTCAAAAGTAATCCTGGTTTTCTTCATCAATGTAGGACTATAGTGTTCTGTGCATTTCTACTTCCAAGAGGACTTAAACAATCACATGCCCAAGTCCAGCCCTGGTGAATATTGTACTGAATATTCATGAATGATTTCTCTGTACATATAGATCCACTCCTCATATTTAATTTAATGGGGACTGATCCACATATACATGTGAGCACCATTACTTATTTATAGTTTCAATTTTGAATAGTTTAAGTAATGGAAACTGTTCCCTCTTAAACAATGCTTGTGCCTTCGTTATTGTCCCTACTAATTTATTTGATCTTATTTTCTCATTATGCCATCCATGTCATTGCCAATGAAAACTGCTTAGCAATTCACCCACCCACTGGATTCAATGTGGCTTAGTTTAGGAACAGACATTTTTTCCCCCAACAGATTGCAAATGTTGTCATATTACGCCCGCACTACCAGCCTGCTGTTTAGATAACACATACCTCTTGACAACCTTAGCTGGAGTTGCTGTCAGTTTTCCAAATTCATCTTTCTCAGAGAAAATTTTTCCATTTTCTGCAATGGAAAAAGAATGTGAAAAGAACAAAATGTCAAAAACGCAAAACAGACACACACAACCATCCGGCATTTGAGTTGTGAATACAATTGCCTTGGAACTTCTCCAAGCAGGTAAGAATGCATAAATAATCAAATGCAGAGCTGAATTTTCATTAGTTTTCAATGCCTTTCCAATTACTCTTCCACTAACAACTGGAGCTTATGCAGTTACATTAAAGCAGTGTAAGCCCTGTGGGCACTGATGTCTAAACAGCAGAAATTACAAAACAAGTCCCAACCTTGGACTTCTGTTTTTTCTTCCTGTACGTTGGCCTGGGATTCTACCGTCTTCACTGACTGGCTGGTACAGCATGCTGTAAGACCAAAATAAAACATCTTGTTAAGATTAACTCACAAGAGTCACCTACACCAAACATTTTGAACACAAGATGGCAAACACAGCAGCAAGATCAAAACTCCATCCTTTTCATACTTCATTGTATCCCATGAACAAAAGGGGTTGGCGCTCCAATTGTGTCACTGCAACTGCTAGCTGACCTTTTTTGATTCTGCTGCAACCTCCCCCCAATTTCAAAACTATAATCTTTGCTATTAATTGACAGTTACCTTGAGCTGAAGTTTTCGTTTTCATAATGTAAAACATGATAATCAGCACAATAGCAATAGCCATGATGAAAATAGTGGACATGGCAATGATAAGAGCAGTAGCCAGATGTCCTTGTCCAGAAAGATCTCCTAGAATGACAAACAGTGAGAGAGAGAAAATATAATTTAAAAACATTTCCAGGGTTAACCATCAACTACTTCATTTAATTATTGATTAAATGCATCTAGGATCAACCCAATATTTCTAAAGCAGATAAAATCCTTCCAAAGTTGTTATTATCTCACAGGTTGCACCAGCACCATCTTGAATCAGGGTACCATTCTGTAGGCTTGAAGGAAACAATTATTTCCTTTTGATGGTGCTTTATTTGTTGCAGTTACTTAATAACCAACAATAATTTTTTTAAAAAGAAATCCCATTGAACAGTTCATTGGAGATTATTTTTAATCTACTAAATTTGTAATTATTAACCTAATTTTAATAGTGCTTTAAAATTATTATTCATTTAATTTAGGACCGTAAGTGCACACAGCAGTAGCATAGTGACACTACCCTAGTAGGAGAATATGAGATGTTGGGGGATTACTTTCTTTAGATTTGTACTGTAAGTGCTGAAAATAGGAGCATAAAAAGTGCAATCGAAGGTTAATGCCTTAGAGGTTGTAGATTGCCCATGTCTACAACCCATGTCTACAACAATAGCCCATGTCTACAACAATAGGAATTATTGAGTCTGACAACTGCACCTCTGTAACTGTCTGGTTTGGTTCTGCAACCCAACAGGACAGACACAGACTTCAGAGAGTAATTAGGACTGCAGAAAAAACAATTGCTACCAACCTGCCTTCCACCGAGGACCTGTATACTGCACGAGTCAAAAAGAGGGCTGTGAAAATATTTACAGACCTCCTCACATCCTGGACATAAACTGTTTCAACTCATATCCTCAAAACGATGCTATACAGCACTGCACACCAGAACAACTAAACACAAGAACAGTTTTTTCCCAAATGCCATCACTCTGCTAAACAAATAATTCCCTCAACACTGTTCAACTATTTACTAAGTTTCAATTACTATTACTATTAATCCTCCCATCCTTCCTTTCACCCATCTGCTCCCACTTATGACTGTATGACTGTAACCTTGTTGCTTATATCCTAATGATTTTTATTGACTGTTTCCTAGTATGATTTAATTGCTTATTGTATCCTATGACTATTATTAAGTGTTGTACCTTATGATTCTTGACTCTTGATGAATCTTTTCTATCTTTTCTTTTATGTACACTGAGAACATTTGCGCCGAGACAAATTCCTTGTGTGTCTAATTACACTTGGCCAGTAAAGAATTCTATTCTATTCTATTCTATTCTATTCTATTCTATTCTATTCTATTCTATTCTATTCTATTCTATTCTATTCTATTCTGTCTACAATTTACAGTTCCTTGAGAATAAATGAAAGTCAAGTCAGAGTATTTGTCTTTAATACAAGTACTTGTATTGTACATCTATATGTACTCTTAAACAATTTACTGAGGATAATATAATCAAACTAAGCACAATTAAAAGGTAAACTTCCCTAACGAAAATGAAAAGAAACGTAATTCTCCACTGCTTCCTAAAAATGATTTAAGAAGGCTCCCATTCTGCCAATACAGATTCCAAAGATGTCCAGGGAGATGAGGAACATCCTTCTCAGCTTTGAGGAAAGCAACTCTTTTAATAGAAGAGCCTTAATAAAATCACATCACGTCTTTATCGAATGCAATCAGCACTAAATGTAAAGACAATTTATTATGAAAACAAATTCTACTAAATACTTTGTCTACAAAAGATGAAGAACTAAATTTGTGTGCAGAACTGTATTTTTCAGCAGAAACACCCTAGCAGGCCAAAAGCTAGTGATTAGAGTTGGGAGGACAATTTCTTAGTCTCCTGGGTCAAACTTTTCCCTTCTAAGCAGCCAATCTATTACATTCCATGTCTAGCATGTAGACCTCATGTCATTTTAATACTATACAGTAACCATACTAGGATTGTGTTGCCATACTGCATAGTATTTTAATTTAAGTCAACTGAATTGTTCTCTGCTTGCAGCAGAATAAAAGAGTGGCCTTTATAAGCCTCTATGTTTCAGATTGCAATCTATCTTCACCCTCTCGGTCGTTTTTTCACCTTCCATTCACCACAGAGCATTGTTCACAGAGCTCATTCAGAAAATAACAACAAGAGAAAATGTAGTTTTGGATGCTCTTTCCTCACTAGTCAATACCCATCTCATAATATGACATCCATTGCAAATTGTGGACATTTTATAATGGCTGACTGACTATTCCAGTTTGCCTATTCAGTCTTTTTAGTATTAGCCATGAAAAGATCAAAGCCGGAGTTGAAATCCTTTTGCAGCTAGCATCTATTTTTATTTATAATTGTCACCTAAAGGTAAGACTTGAATTTTCAGTAGAAATGGATCTGCTGTTTGGTTTCTTTGACTCTTCAGAATTGATTCTTTTGGTTATTTATTTTGTTAAATTTATTTGCTACCTATCTTGCTGTAGGGCTACCCTAGATGGTGTATTTTATTATTTGTTTGTTTGTATTTTATTTATTTATTAGTATGATATGGTTCATCACACAGTCAGCCAGAGGTTCCAACTGGCATTTGGCACCATTGTAAAATAAGTATTCTTATTTGAGCTTTAGCAAATTACCCTTTGAATAACTCTATAAGCCACCTAAGTCAATAAGAGTGAGTTGGACAGCCATATAAATTTCAGTAAACAAACAAATGACCTTATTGTGCCATGCAGGTATTTCAATATACTGTATTTTTCTGCAGCTTGTTGGTTTTCATTTTGTACCAGTTTGAAACATGCAACTGACAAAGAAGGTAAAGTTGCTTCAATTCAGGAAGATCCCCAATTTTCATATTTGTAAATGGAGACTTATTGCATGCGGGTATTCCCCATTCATGCATAAAAGGCCTGAGTGTAGAAGTCTCAGTAAATGCCTGGTAAATTACTTCCATGCAAGTGCAGCACGTTGCCTCTCCTTGCAATTAACTAATGAAATTGCTGGGCATTGTTCACACATTACAGTGATGATTACTCTTGGGATCAGAACAAAAAGCTGATTTCATAAACCACATACCCCAATTACAAGGCTGTATGTCATTTTCATATATATGTGTCCTAAGCAAGGATCTGGTGGATTAGCAGCCAAAAGCTTGTTCATTTGACTACATTCCATTAAATTCCTGCTTTCCAAATCAGTTGCACCCAAGGAGATAAAGCAACTAAATTAATTTCCCTGAATAGGTACATCCATTGGCAAATGAAAGTCATATAATTCATCTTTACTGAAGTAGACTGATTGCTGAGGAATAATTCTGAGGATTCCTCCTATCTGAGAAAAGAAGGCATTGTGAAGGATTGTCTGTCAACTGCAGTCCTTTTACAGTCTTTTCTAAAAATAATTTTACACTCTCCTGTAGCTTTGTGGGGTTTTCTCCCTTTGGAGAATAGGATGGCCCCCATCTTGGGGGCCTTTTGTAAAACTTTAAAAACTTGGCTATGTACCTGGGTCTGAAGCTGTGTTAAGGGCCCTGTTTCTTGGCTTTTCTGATAGTTTTTTTTTTTAAATAAAAATTTTATTTGGGTTTTCACAAAACATAATACAAGTAATTTTTTTTTGAGAATAGCATGGTCCCAGGTTATCACTTCTCCATACAGACACAAATTCAATTTCATATTCATCTTTGTGTTCTATTCCATATCTTATTACTATTTTAACATTTTCTCAATAATTTTCCTTCCCTTAGTTTTCTCAATCTTACTTTTAATTATCTCATTCCTTTCTAAATTCAATTATATATATCTTTTTCTAAGTTTCAATATCTTTCTAGTCATTATATTTATACTTTGTCTGTCCTGTTTCAATTTCATATTTTCTTTTCTCATTAAACAAAATTTTTTCCCTATAGTTACTAATTGGAGTATGACATCTTTGTATCTTTTAATTTTTATCCATTCAACTCTTATTTAAACTTCAATGTATGCCTTTACAATTATAACATTCAATATAACACATAACTTCCAGTCGAATTCTGCTTGGTACATTCTTAAAATATGCACTAAGTTCTTAAAGAGAATATATATATATATAATAATAATAATAAATAAAATACTTATTGTATTCCAATTCAGCTCTATCATTAATGTTAGTTATAATCTTTGACATCTTTAACATTTCTTTTCAATAGGTTATCATACTTCTAGGAACACTTATAATATTTCCATGTCTTCATGTTTCTTTCATATTCCTCTTCACTTAAATTTTTATAACACATTCATAATAATTAAAATGTTCCCCTCCTTTCCTAATTTCATTCTCTCATTCTCTTTATTTCATTTATTTATTAAACACTCCATTACATTACAATGAGTATTTTATCTATCATTTTAATCACACTTGTTTCATATTTTCAAAGTTCATTTCTATTTCTAATATAACAATACTCTCTTATGTACCCTTGCAGAATCCTCCTTTCAATTAAGTTTTCACCCGTTATCTCTGTGTCTTATACGTTTTCCCTGTTTCTCTAAGTCCTGATTCTGTCCTTTATAATTTCTTTTCCTTTCCCTCTTCTCCCTCTTCTTCTCCATTCCCTTTTTGATCCCTTCTCTCTCTAATTCTGATTCTCTCTTCTATAATCCTCTCTTCTGTTTCTTCCTAATGTTATAATTACTTTTCAAACTATTCTTTTTTGAGTTGTTTTTCCAGATCTTAAATTTTTCATCCTCTTTCCCCCCTTCCCTTTCTGTTCCCCACATAGAAATACTTGGTCATTGAAAATGGCTTCTTCTTTGTCCCGCCCTTCTTGATCGACATGCATTTTTTGTTGTTTCTCATAGTTCAGGATCTCCATTTCTAAAAATTGAAATACGAAGTCAAAAGAACCTCTTCCTTCTTGTGCATCTTCTTTCTGTTTTTTAAGTTCCATTCTCAATTCTTCCAAGAGTGATATCATTTTAAAAACTTTTAAACAACCACCCGATTAATTTTAGTCCTTTAGATCCAATAGCCAAAAATCCAAAAATCACCAAGTAATCAAAATAATCCAAAGCTGTTTCTTCTTGCTTCTTTTTTCCACTTTCTCTTCCTGGGGTCCTCTTATCTTGTTACAAAGTTTCAATTAAAATGTATCTTTTAGGAATCTTGTTAAAGTTTCACTGTTAATTCCTTTCACTTCCAGGTGGTCTCCTCCCTTTTTCCAGATCCCACCCTTTTGTTTTTCTCCTTCTTTTAAAAGTTTTTGAGAATCCAGAAATCTTTATTATCCCTTTGACATTTTATTTTCAGCTTAAATACCTGTTAATGTCAAAGTGGATTTTTGCCGATTTCTTGCTTAAATCTCTTATTTGTCAATATAGGGAAGAAAAGAAAAAAAACCAAATCCTTTCCCTTCCCTCTCTCATTCGCCGCTTCAAAGTCTTCTTTGGGAACAATGTTGTTCTTTATAATTCAAATTCCAGGGTATCTTATATTGTTGCTTTTTCAGTTCGACACGGTCAGCCAAAACTTTCTCTCCTTATCTTCCTCCTGCACATTCTTCTCCGGTCGAGTTCTTTTTTGAGGTGGCCATTTCTGATCACCACTGCAACCGCCTTCGGGAAAGGGAGTAATGGCCAGCTGGGGAGGAGAAATGTGACTCTCCTCGACCCTGCTAGCAGTCTCCCTCCTCTTCACCACCTCTACGGGGTGGCTTAGCCCCAAAACCAGCCGCCTCGGGGCACTCCAGCAGTGAGCACAGATCGAAACTGCACACGATCGCAGATTTCAGTCTGTCGCCAAAGAAGCTCAAACCAGAAGCCCTTGGCTTTTCTGATAGTTGTTTAAGTATCTGGGGGTATTTATTTTTTGAATGTTTTTATTGTTATCAATTGTTTTAATGGTTTTATAGTTTTAGAATTATAAACTCCTGATGTCACTAGATAGGCGGTTCTAGAAATGGAATAAATCAATGAAAATAGATAAATAAATAATAGAGCCTGATGGGTAATAGGCCATAAACATTCACTTGGTCCTTCTAGTTGTGTCATTACATTTGCCAAATTTCCTTCAGCCTGATGTTACAAAGCCTACTATGGCCCCGAAGCCTGCTATTAAGTACAAATAATTAAATCAGGAGCTGCTTTTCTTACCTTTGTGCACATGTTGAAAAGGAGAATGAGTACTAGTGCCTGAAGTACTCAGGAAACTGGCTGACACACCAGAAGTAACGCCTGTGCCTGTAATAAGAAACAAATTTGCTGGTTACTTGCAGAATCTCAACTTTGAACTGCTTTTTTTTCCATGAACAGAGACCAATTATTTGAGATTCCGATCCATTTTAAAGGTTACTTTATATGATTCAATTTATCCTGCTGAGATGTGAAATAGAGAGTTGGCACATTTTTGTGTCTGAATGGAGATATTTACCCATTTTTATCTGAGGCAGAGAAGCAATTTATGATCCTAGACATTTTTTCCAGAAATTAGTTATTGATTGATTTAAAGAAGCTAGCATGCTAGCTAAAGGACTAAAAAAATATAATACACATTTTCTTAGACTATGATCTGTTACATCAGCAATATGTTATTTTATGCTGAAAGAGGAGTATTTCAGTATTATCCTCTATGCCAGGGGTGTCAAACTCATGTCATCACGGCGGTGACATATCAGAACTTTTTCCCCCTTCGCTAAACTGGGTGTGGATGTGGCTAGTGTGTAATGCATTCGGCCTGCGAGTTTGACAGCCCTGCTCTATGCATTGGATGTAGTAGAGTCTAGTTTACAAGAAGTTTTTCTATAATAAAATTTGGGTTTGCTTTTTTTTAAGTTTTGTAATACTATATGGCTACTGGAGAACTAAAACAAGACCAGAAACAAAGATGTTTAAAAATTAAGGACAAAACCAAATTAAGTACAAAAACAAAGAACTTAAACTTTGTAATATGAATACGTCTAATATGAATAACCCTAAGAAGAAATACTAATATTATTAAACCTCCAATTTATTTGTCTTTTTAGAGTGATATTTCTATAAGTGACAAAACAGGCAGAGGCATCTCTGGGAAAAGATGCAAGGGGGAGATCCAAGAAAAAGAGATTTTATATAAGCATAGTGTTATTGCACAAATGATGCAGTTTGCTCGGTTTGAACAACAATTATGTCCTACACTCTCCTGGCCTGGTATCTTAACCACTACAGCAAATTGGTTTTATTTGTACATTGTTACAAATTATAATATCAACTCACTAGTCTCCAAGTACTGATAACTGCAATATTTTGCGAGCAATTAAAATTGTTTCTTTTCTTTCTTTATGGAATTTGATATTGAAAAGGAATAAAAATCCAGGGTGGGAAGGAAAGCATTATGAAAAAAAAGCATTTTCATTCCTACCACCACCATTTTTTCCTTCTTCTCTGGATGTATTCTGAACTTACTTACATTTTAATTATTAGTAATTGGGGAAAAAAATCAAGGAGATTGTATAGCCTGAAACTCAACTGGTATTAATCAAATCTTGTTTGGAGGTTTGATTCACAGGACAGTAAGATATAAGGTAAGATGATAAGAGGAGAGGAGTGGAGAGGAGAGGAGAGAACAAAACAGAACAGAAGAGAACTTTTATTATCATTTTTTTCCTATGAGCACACTGGCCCACATTATAAATGAAATTCTGTTGCCTCCTCTCAAGAGAAAGTTTGGGATTGTACACTGGGCCCATTCCAGACAGGGTGGCTACAACTGCAAAAAGCCAGGAAAGGGGCATCTGTCCACTCAGTGGTATATTAGCCATTAAGCAGACTAAGCACATGCTTAGGGCACCAGGCCCAAAAGGAGCACCACAAAAACTTTTATGTAGCCTAAGCTTGGCTTCATTTCTACATATGTACAAAGGGGGGGCACCAAGATTTGTCAGTGCTTAGGTCACCAGCGAGCTTTAATCCACCACTGTGTCCACTGCCCTGTGCAAAGTTTTCCCCTCAGGAGCTCCCCAGTGGTGGGATTCAATTATTTTTTACTATCAGTTCTGTGGGCGTGGCTTGGTGGGCATGGCAGGGGAAGGATACTGTAAAGTCTCCAGTCTTCTGCTACCGGTTCTCCAGAACTGGTCAGAACCTGCTGGAGCTCCCACTCAATCCATGCTACAGCCGCACAAAGAAACCCTTGTGGGTACAGTTAAGCCAAGGCAGTGAGCCCGTGTACGGTTCCTCATGATTCACAACTCGTAAACCCAGAGTTTATGGCACCTAAATATGTATTATTATTTTGTGATAACTTAACTGCCCAACTCTATACCATGTGTATGGGACTGAAATTAGTGTGAGAGGAAATGTATGTCACAATGTACTGCAGTTTTTCATATATCATAGATATTGATAAGCATATATCAGTGCTGCAGTGAAAAGTAATATGGAAATAGTTTAATTGCATCACAGTGAAGCAAAAAAAGGGGAGGGGGAAGTGTGTTGTATGTAGTATGCAAATTATTTATTATATTTAATTAAGATCCCACCCATTATGAAAGAAAAAGTTAGCCTAGGGGCCTTAAGGATAGAATTAATATATTTTTTATTTATTAAATTTATATCCATATTTGGATCAAATCATTCTGTAGTGAAAAAATTATTACTATTCTGCAGTTCTGGAATATGAATCTTAACTCAGAAACACCAGACAAATTGAACAGGAAATTTGGTTCTCTAATACAATGAAATAAATATCTCTTAGCTTAAGAGGCAACGTAATGCATATAGTTTGAATAAAATGTAGCATTAAATAAAATTTTATACACTATATTATGTAAAATATTTTAGAAAATGACATCCATTTTCATTTGCCCAACAGAGTACCCATGATTTTGAATAAGTCTTTCCTAGAACAGTGGGAAGCATTTTCTAAGCAATACTAGCTGTGAAATATAGTGTACCTTTAATTTTTAAGGATGCTCATTTGAAATCCAAATAGTATTCATGCAATGTTAATAACCCAGTTTTATTTAGCTGGCCTGTTTCAGCTGTGCCTGCATTCACTATCTGTAACGTGACTTTGTGCTGACATTTATTGCTGTGAATTAAATTGATGATCCAGTGAATCTGGAGCTAGTTCCCTGACATTTTTTACTTAGTCTCTTCCTGGCAGGGTAAATATATTTCTCCCCCTGTCCCCCATTTTTTTATTTTTTTATTTTGTTACACATTCTTTTAGGACATTATAAAAATATTTATTTATACTTTTATTTCATATGTATTATTTTTATGCATAACTTAAGGTGTGGAACACATTTAACACTTCTTCCTCCTAGGTTATTAAATCTTTATCTTCCTTCTCTGGTGAGGACAGACGCATTGCTTGCAATCATTTGCAGACACCATAAAACAAGGATGGAGAACTATGGCCTTTTTATGACTTGTAGACTTCAAGTCTGGCTCAAGAATTCTGGCAGTTAAGGTCCACAAGACATAAAGAGACCATAGTTCCACACCTCTGCCATAAAACCAGATCCCATTATAGCCAAGCGCACACAATGTCTGTAAGTTTTCAATCACTTGCTGAGGTGTTTTACATAATTTACATTATTGTAGCATAAATTACAGAAATATGTATATAAATCAGGGGTGGTAACTTTAAGGTTTGTGGATTTCAACTCCCAGAATGCCCCAGCTACCCATACTGGCTGGGGAACTCTGGGAGTTGAAGTGCACAAGTCTTAAAGTTGCCAAGATTGCACAGTCTGATATAAATGATGTAAAAATGGTTTGGACTAATTTGAATTCAGGCTTTTTCTCTTGCATCCAAAGTTGAATTAATAGAGATCCATAAAATAATAAGTTTTATTACACTTCATGGCAAGTTAGTTGTCTTCAAGCCAGATCACATTTCTTAGCAATTTGCCCAAATTTACAGTCAAAATAACCAATGTACATATAAAATGTTGGAAAAGCAGATGCATAGAGCAATAGTCTAGTGAATAAAGATATTGGGACTGTAATTGATTATCATTGAGCTTGAATGATGCAACTGCAGGAAGGAAGACAAGACTAAATTCTCCTGAATGAATATCAGTATTGAAATGGGTTTGGGGCATTCCGAATTAACAGCATTTTATAGACTGCTAAGGAATATAATTAAAGTCAATATTATTATATGGAAGAATTTCCAAATAAACCATTGGACTATCTTATTTTAATGAAATAATGGTTAAGGTATGTTTAAAAAGTGGTATAATTTGTTTTTTCTTAAATTGAGATTTATAGATCCAATCACCCTTAAAAGGAAGGCTATTCAATTCATTTTGCAGGAATTGTAAAATGGTGGAGGGAACTTTAATATCTGATTTTGGATTAAACATCCATATGTTTATTAATACAGACGGTTTTTTGTGGGGGGGAGAAATATGGTTTAAATTTGTGAATGTGATTATACATGTTGTTTTCTGCACTATAACTTTGATTTTTGTAATAGAAAATATAAAATTGCATTCTTATAAAAGAGAATTATGAAAACTCAAAACATTACCCAGTCAACAGATTCTATGTACAACATCACAGTATATAAAATGGTCTAAAATGTGAGTTAAATTTAAAGTAAAGTAAAATTAAAATGGAACCCAACTTACATTCTTTAGTGTTTGGAGGTGCCAGTGAACACGAGTAACAAACCATCCCATAAATATTCCGAGGCCTGTTTTCTAACATATAATAGCTGTAAAAAAAGGGCAAGATAAGGCAAAACTAATAAAACTCAGTTGATTGATATTAACTATAGTTGAAATAATTAATTACTGTATAAACATCCTACTTTAATGCTTCAGTGTTATCTATTTTCCTTGCTTGACTAGAAAAGGCTCCTTCTCCACTGCTTTATCAGATTAGTGAAATCAAGCTTGAAAGGTCTGTGGCATGACCGATATCAGTCTAATCCAACATACATTTGTGCACAAAATTCGCAGTAAAGTTCAACACGTTTTTAAAATTAAATTTTCTGCACTAGAAATTTCTGGCAGAGGTAATCTTCCAGACAAATCCTAGCCTTAACTGACACAAAAATAATATCCTTAGGTACAGAAAAAATCACAGGTGTAACCTGGTTAGGATAAATACAATAGTTAAAATAAACACCCAATGAGTTTATAGGAGCTTTGGTAATACCCTATGTTCAGTTGGGCATGCACAAATGTATTTGCCAATCCTCAGTTTGGATTTTATAAAAAAAAAAAAGTGATAAGGAACTTAAGATTTATCCCATTTATCTATTCCCATTTTTCTAATGATAATTATCTCAAGGCAAGACCTCAATGCATTCATGTGGATTAGGAAACAAGTTTTATGTCCCTTTATGATGCTTTTTCTCTACCTTCAACTGTTCCTCTGTTACTTTTAGGAAGCAAACCCTGAAATAACATTATGATGAATGCTAAGCAAAAAGTCATTTATTTGTAATTAGGAAAATAGAAACATTGCTACTCTACTAATTGCTTTGGGTTGGACCCAGAATTAGAGAAGGTCAATTAAGAATTGGGAAAGCACTTAGGGTTGCAAAACTCTGGATAGGCATGATATGGCAGAAAAAGTATACAGAAAACTAATTCCTATGTCATCTAGTGGTCATCTGGATTTATGACAGGTCTATTTCTACTGTGTAGAAAAGAGCTTTATTATTTAAGAGCAGGAGTGGTTCATGGAAAGACCACCCTCAGACCTGCAAAAAATATGCCTGGCTTTGGAAGCACAGAACACTCTCATTTCACTTCTTACTTCAGTTTGGTAGGTAAATTAGGCTTAAAATAATCAGGATTTAAGCCATGAGTAGTTGAGCTTGTCAATCAGAAAGGTCGGCAGATTGGCGGTTCGAATTCCTAGCACCGTATAATGGAGTGAGCTCCCAGTACTTGTCCCTGCTTCTGCCAACTTAGCAGTTCAAAAGCATGTAAAAATGCAAGTAGAAAAATAGGGACCACTTTGGTGGGAAGGTAACAGCGTTCCGTGCGTTTTCAGCATTTAGTCATGCCAGCCACATGACCACAGAGACGTCTTTGGACAGCACTGGCTCTTCGGCTTTGTAACAGAGATGAGCACCGCCCCCTAGAACCAGAAACAACTACTACATATGTGCAAAGAGAACCCTTTACCTTTTCACATTGCTTGCTATGTGATCCAAAAATCAGTAGTGGTTTCTAATCTTAAGGAAGAAGCAGGTGTGCATTTGAGTTGATATTTCATTTGCTTTAATAGTCTTATTTTTTTTCTTTAACATAAATCTTTGGGGCCATGTTTATTACTTATGTACAGATAACTATCATGCATTTAAGTGAATGCAGAAAAATTAAGCATGTACAGAATGAAGACTGTTAAGATTGTAATGAAATCCTTACCCAGGGAGGCAAGGCCCACATTCTGCATCATTTTCTTTATCTCCAGGTGTCATCACTGTCGCCCGAAAGAACCCTTCACAATCTTTGTGTCTCCGGCAAATATGATATCCACCTTTAGAAAATTTTTCGGATGGGCATGGGATGCAGCCATAGTCTTCATCTCTAGTGCCATACCCACATGTCTGTGAGAACAAGAGCGTTTCAAATAATCCAATTTTTTTCAATGACTTTATTACACGGAATTGATGACCCTTCCTCCTTTTCCCCACTGGCCTCCTTGGCAGGTTGCCTGAAGAAGATTACTTTGGTAGTCTCCACTTTGTCTTCCTGATAGGATTAAATAAGAACTCCAATTTAGAACAGAGGAGAAGTACCCAGTTCTTTTTACTGTGCTGTTCTCCAAATTCCGTTTTGAAGGAAATATGAAGCATGCCTTCCATCCTGTGAAGAAAGACCTGGCATGCCTTTCCTTGCCTGTGACTAGTCTAATAAAAAGAGGACCTGAGACCAGCCCTTCTTTGGGGTGGCACCTAGTCTTTGTAGGACCTCTCTGTCCTCCCCACTGCCCAATGTTTGTGGCTGGTTTCTTGTTTCTGGTAGAAAGTAACATTTGTTCTTTTTCACTAAGCTTTTATGACACACAGTTAAACTCATTTTAATCATAATATTGACCATCCTCTGCTTTTAAAAATATTCTTTAGCTCTCTGGGTTTTTGTCAGTACTGGCACAGGAGTTCACTAATCACTCAGCTGTTCTCCGTTACCTAAACTCAGGCAAGGGGGCATTTTAAACCTCATAGTCTTCAGTGTGAACATGAAAAGACTCTAGCAAAGGCCTTTCACTGTGCATCTGTCCTGCTTAATTGCATTCAAGAACTGAACGGTGGTGAGGTACAACAAGGAATGAAAAAGGAATGAAATAACAAGGCAATTCCTCTGTTACTGCTATTTCTCCGAAGGAGGGGTTTTAAGAATCTCTTACATACCACTGGGTTTATGTAGGACGGACTTTCATCCTCTCTTAGTCAAAATATGGTGCCTATTAAAAATAATTGCTGCCAGGGATAATTATATTTTTTAAGGCAGAGTAATTATGGAAAATTGCACTGGAGAGAAACTGTTCCTGCTTTGCTGGACTCACCAACCTTGTCTGAAATCCTATTTGGAACACAACGGCTATTTTCTTACTTCATAGCAGTCCTGTGAAGGCTATTTTCCTGACAGTGAGGAAATTTAGAATAATGATACCCTGCACCACAGGGAAAATGACATTGTTCACTGCCATTGTCGAACAAGACTAAAAAAAAGTGTGCTTTGGTTGGCCTATGGATATGATTCAGTACAGATTTCTATTTTTATTTGTACAAATAAGAACATCAGAAATTGCCTTATAGAAGAAGGCCAAACTTATTTAGTCTGATATTGTTTACTGCTCTGGCTAGGAGGCAGGATTCCTCATCCCCACTCTGTGTGTGTGTGTGTGTGTGTGTGTGTGCGTGCGCGTGTGTGTGTGGGTGTGGGTGTGTATGTGTGGGTGTGGGTGTGTACATGCATTCAAGGAAGAAGATATGGTCTTTCTGCCTTTCTCCTTATGGAACACCTCTCTTTTCAATTTTTTCATGGAAAACACATTAACTACAGTTACATGAAGATAAAAGGAGCAATGCTTTTAAAAATACGTTTTATAGTATTTTGAACACATTTCTTAATCACATTGTTATCTTGTGTGATGCATTTTTCAAATTGGCACCCTTATAGGAAAGAATAGAATAGAATAGAATAGAATAGAGTAGAGTAGAGTAGAATAGAATAGAATAGAATAGAATAGAATAGAATAGAATAGAATAGAATAGAATAGAATAGAATAGAATAGAATATCTAATGATCTCAAAACATCACAAGGATAAGGTTCTTCTCCTGGCTCACCATATAAGGTTCTTCTCCTGGCTCACACTGTGGACACTCTTGGCACATTCCAGTTGTCTGATTGTAATATTCATTTTCACCACAATTAGAATATTCAGCATTAGCAGAATACACAAGTGATGCCTGTATCAAAAAGTAAAGCTTAGTTACTTCTATTGCCAGGTTGTCATAGTTACTTAAAGGCAGACAAGATGGATGTGTGAATCACTGGGATTAAAACATACAAACCCACCCTACCCCCAATAATATGGGCTGCTGGACATTGAAGAAACTATCTCCTATCAAAATTTGTCATAGATCTTCTAATCTTTATGAGTTGAACCTGATGGCCTTGAATTTCTTCCATGATTTCACATTTTATTGGAATTGAAAAGACTATAAATACATTTATGTCTACTCTTTATTTGACAGGCAGGCAGAAATATGAAGAATGTGATATTTGGAGCAATAGCTAAATTTTAAAAATTGTCCATATCTTATTTTGTTAAAATATAAGACATTACAATTGAAGGCATGTGTGAAGGCATATATTGAGAACAATGGAAGTGAAAAGGGAGCAAATTAGATTATCAATGGTTGTAAGGTAAACTTCAAAATAGAATGTAAAGCCTTGGATATTAATCAAAGACACATAAGTTTATATTTATTGCAAGCTAATTGTGGATTTGAAACAAAAAACAGCTGGTTTGTTTGAACAAATTATGTCTAAATATCTAATGACCAAATATTGTATTTTAATTGTCTATAAATGTGATATAAAGGGCAATATTGTTTGAAAAAGATTAAGGTTATTTCTATATGAATGGCTTATAATATCTTATATGTGTCATTCATTTATCATTGTGCCAAAATAATAATAATAATGCATACAAGATTTATATCATTTCAACGATGGCTGGGTAATGCTATGAAAATATGAGATAGGTGCAAAAATGACCAACAACTTTTCTGCAGAATGGGTATCTCCTTTCACAAATGCCATTTTGTTAAGTTATCTGTTTGGCACAATAAAAAGGGTGAAAAGGATATGACTTTTAAATGTAATGTTTAAATTGCAGATTTAATTTTATGTGGTTTACGAAGGATTCGTAACAGTTTTATAACACTGTTTACAACATCCAGTTCCAAATTACCAATGCATTACTTAGGCAGGTTGTTTGTAAGTCCTCCATGATTGCTTATTGTACCCTACGACTATCATTAAGTGTTGTACCTTATGATTCTCGACTCCTGACGAATGTATCTTTTCTTTTATGTATACTGAGAGTATTTACACCAAGACAAATTTCTTGTGTGTCCAATCACACTTGGCCAATAAAGTATTATATTCTATTCATACATACAGATCAGAGGTTAGGATCATCACCATGGATTTTTTTTTACACTCATCCTTTTAGTTTGACTTAAGTTTGCTTTATTCTTATTGACTTATTAGTATTTTCAGCTTCATTACATCCATGAGAGTATGGGTGTGTATATTCTGTGCATAGGCAAAGCCTCATTGTATTTTGAGAGCGCCCCCATTTCATGCTTCCTGCATTTCATATCTGCCAAGCTAGTCCCAAAAGCAAAATGAAGCAAGAATGCTTTTATTAACATAAAAGTACTGAATATTGTATGCTTTCTTAGTAACGCTTTCTAAAATTGGCTATCTGCAGCTATTGTTCTCAAGATCAAAGGACTCCATTTTCACTTATTTTCAAAACTTTTCTGAAGCAAATATTACATTGAACATAGGATAGCTTGGACTATATAGCAGTTTCAGCATTTCAAAATTAAACGGATTATTTTCTTTTGAGAACTTATTTTTCATTTTCTTTATTTTATAAACTTCACTTATCCCTAAAGTAAGAGTGAAGAAGCTAAAGCCCTGAATGATAATTCCCAAATCCTTTTCCTTCTGTTAGTTGAAGTTTATAAGCTGGAGGTTTTAAGCTTATTCCAGGTTCAGAGGATCATAGAATTACAGAATTGCTCTTAAAATTGCCTTGAGTTTATTCAAATCTGCTTTCTTGAAGACAAAGGTTTGCATATGACTACATTATCTGGCAGTGTGTAAGATTGATCTGCTATATTTATCTGCTATATGTTCTCTATGGGTTGAGGTCAAGACAAGAATACTTGAGCAACTTGTTTCTTTTATCAATTGGTGAAGTGATGGAACCTTCTGATCATGCTGGGAATTTCCTGTAGGTTTCCTCCTAAACTTGGCAGAGTTTATCCCCAATTAATCTGCCATTACTATTACGTTCACAGGCCCTTTGAAAGATATTCTTTCTGATTACATTAGTCAGTAATGTAAATCAATAATACTATTGCTTTTGCTTGTTTTTCTAGCTTAATTTAATCCAGGTGTTTTCTACAGTAAACCAAGGTCATCTATCTGAATTTCTGAGCAAATGTGCATATTTTTAACGTAGAACTCTGCCTTCATTTCTATTGCTTTTTAAGCACTATTGTAATTGTATGAATCGTGTCTATCAATTTACAGTTGTTTTCCTTTAATGAGTTCAGGCTCCCTCTTGTTTATTTTCCATGCTGGGAACCTTGATTTATCTAGACAGTGAAGGCCATGAACTTTATGAATCCATGTTCTTCTTCCATTTTAATTGAGCAGCTTAATAAGTCCCTTTATTGGACCTGATTCTGTCAAAAACATTTTTTGTAGTCTTTGTGAGAGGCAGACCATCTTGTCACAGCAGTCTATCATCCAGTAATAAAATAATGGTCCAGAAACCAAATCTCTTCCATCCCTTTCCACTCCTACATTACAGACTGGAAGAATGAAAACTACAGGAGCTGCTACGAAATTCTGCTCTCTTCTTTCTCCATTTCTATCCAACACAAACCCTGGATCTTGGAAAAATAATAATATACTACATATACTTTGTCAATCAGATCAACCTAATCCCTTTAGATTCAACAATATTAATGACATTTATGGGCTTGATTTTTTTAAAGACATAAAAAGGTGTTTTTAAAATGAAATATTCTGAAGTAGCTACATGGAAATTTTTGGTTCTGATTAATAAAGCACTAATGAATGGTTCTTTACTGTCAATTTGCTACAGTTAATGGATGGACCTGCAGCTTATGCATTCAAAATACCTACTATGAGAAAAGGGAACATATGAGTCCATCTGCCTTTTCCCAGATATGCCATATTATCTTGATAATTTATCTGAAAAGAAAAGAAAGATTAACTGTTATTGCAGGAAAAAAAGGTCACATTTAGAATGCTTTCTTATGCATATTACTTGGAAATCATTGTCATCGCACAATAAGAAGCTGCTATAAAAAGTTCTTATTTTTATAGGAAAAGAATGGTTAAGCAATTAATTAGTTAAAGCCAAGTTGTTCTGAACAAGAAGCTTAAGAGACAAAGGATGTTATTATTTCCAGAGGAGGACACTTTTAATTAAAAGCACAATAGATTGGGAAGTGTCTCCAGGGTCCCAATTTAACTGTGTCAGCCCACCCAGGTAACTAGACAGGAAACACAACTAGATGTGCTAATCCTGCTTTATCGTAAGGCTACAAGTTTGAAGGTACAAATTTCCAGCCACTACTTTTAACTACTTAATCCATAAAAGAGAGTTCTTCCTAAGATTATTTGTCCCACCATTAAGCTGCTGAAGGCTCTTCCCTGTCTTATCTGATTGTTTTCTATGTAGCATCTCTTTCCCTTTAACCCCAAGGTCATTCATACATTCCAATACAGAATGAGATGGCAGACCAGGTGTGTATTATTAGTATCTGAATGGAAGAGTTCTATCTACCCAAATTTTGGTGGTAGCCCGAGCCACCATCCCATTTGGGAGGGGAGGGGAGACAGCTGTGATCATCCATGAAACTCTGCTGGCATCAAAGGCATGGCATTGCTGATGCTTCCTGGTTTGAAGGATCAGATTGGTTTACTTGTGGATTTTGCTTTGTGGATTAGTCTTCCTGTTCCATTGTGTTATCCTTGCCAGGGATGTATTACTTTAATGCTGGGTTGGTAGTAAATTTCCACACTCTGATTGCACTTGGAAGTTTCAACTTGCCTTTCTTGGTGAAAGATCTGAAATAGCCCAGGAATTCATGGCAACAATGGCAACATGAATCTGATCCAGTTTACTGAGGGCACACAGGAGATCTGATGTTTGGTTTGGGACAGATGGAGGAGGCTGAACTTCTCTCCTTGTTATGGACAGACCACGCCTGACTGTAGTGCCATGCTTTTCTGCAGAGGGGAGGATCTGTTAAAGAGGTCTGTCCCAAGCATCTAATGGACCTCTTGGATGTGATGGGCAGCTCAATCAAAGTATGAATTGCTAAATAAATAACATGACAGACAGACAGACTCTAGTATGAAAGTACTGCCAAAAGAACAAAAAGAACTCCCAGATTTAAAATAAAAAATATACCCTCTTTTTACCATAAGCATGACAGTCAACTGATTGCATTCATTAATTGTTTTTTTTTCCCCTCTTTCTCTCTCCAGTGAAATTGTTGCGGGAAAGGTAGTAAAAATCCTGCTCTTCAGCAGATGAGGAAAAAAAGAACAAGCTTTTGCTATAAAAGTTATATGCTGCAGGGTTTTAACAGATTTAATATCTCTGATATTTGAGGTGTGGCTGTAACAGTGTGGTCTTTGCAGAAAGCATTAGCTGTTTTTCTATAGATCTATTTTGAAAACATATCTTTTAAGTTATTTTCTAACGCTTAAGCAGAGTACAGTAGTTTCGGTTTACATTACAGTGTCCAGTTAAATAATGGCACTCTCTCCTACACATATAGATGTTACTTTTAAAATCAACACAGCAGATGTCATAAGTATACTACTGAACTACTAAGTAATAAACTCCCTACATATGTTCCTTCTAGCAAGTAGACTAGCTCAGACAAGTTACTGTATAGATGGGGAGAGGAAGGCAAAGAATCTGGTCTATCTATACATAATTTATTTAGAACACAAACCAACCTGTCAGCCTTTTAAAAAGTCTTGTTGAGTTGTCCGGAAATAAATGAAATACATTTTATATTTTCACTTGAAACCCATGCAGATAAACTTCACAACTTTAATTAGATAATGCGTCTAAAAATGGCTTTATCAAAGGGCAGACAGAAAAACTTAGATTGCCTAAATATAGACATGAAGAAATGCCATTTCACAATCATATATTTTCTTATTCCCTTATAATCTTATACCTTTGAGAGTAGAATCATATGTTTATAACTATGGAAGGCAAAAAAAAAAAAGTCCCCTGCATGTCTTATATAGCTTGCTCTGTGTTGAAGTTTGCTAACATTCCAGCAACTATGCATTATTCCACCAAACACATTCCAGTAAATCATTCCCAACAAGGATACATTTATGTGTTTTTTAGCTATAGCCCAATGGTTCACCGGCAGCCGGTGCAGACGGCAGCGGTATTGGACAGTGAGGAAGAAAGGGGACCAGTCAGGGAGTCTGGAGAAGACTTGGACAAGGGTCCTGTGTCTGATGCAGGGATGGGCCAGCCAGACCATCTGGGAGTGGGGTGCAGCCTTCGGAGTCTGGCAGCAGCAAAGCAGAGGACCCAGGGGAGCCTGTTCCCAGTGCGCGTGTGCGCAGAGCTGCTAGAAGGTGTGGGCAGCTGAAGCAGAAGGGGAGGCTCGGGAGTAAGACTGGGAGGTGATTGCCCCTCCCATAAGGGATAAAAGTCAGACCTCAATGACGAAAGCTTTGCAGGAAGCAAAGCAGTTCAATAGATTCTGAGTCGATTTTTTCTGGTACTGTTATAATTAATTTGGATACTTCTGGTTTTGGCTGCATTCCACAGCACTGACAGATGTGTGCTTATCTTGGGGAACTGTTTAAGATTAGTTCTGGCTGTGAATGAAAATAATTCCCAGCGTTGCATTAAAATAGGTTTTTCTTTTAAAACAAGTTTGTGTTTAATTACGTTTGGCAAAGCCTGGGTCAGAACACTCAGGTGTGGAGGCTGGTACATAAACATTGTCAGGAAGATTGATTCTGCCCTATCTATATAAAGTACACTATATATAGTATCTTTATATAGTGTACATATACTATATATATATACACTATATAAAGAAGAGGAGGTCAGCTTATTTTCCAAAGCACCAGAAGGCAAGACAAGAAACAATGAATGGAAACTAATCAAGGAGAGAAGCAACCAGGAATTAAGATGAAACTTCCGAACAGTGAGAACAATTAACCAGTGGAATAGCTTGCCTCCAGAAATTGTATGTGCTTCGTCACGGGAGGTTTTTAAAAAAAGACTGGACAGTCACCTGCCTGAAAAGGGTCTCCTGCTTAAGCAGGGGGCTGGACTAGAAGACCTCCAAGGTCCCTTCCAGCTCTATTGAGATTCTAGATTCTATCTCTGTGGATCATTGGACTCTTTCATAAAAGATATAGTTATCTGACTGAAAGCAAGCAAATTAACTTTTATTAACTTAAATACCACTGATTTATCTCAGAAATAAGTGAGTCTTGATGAAGACTGTACCAGAGTGTTCATTATAACCAAGGATAAATTGTTCTGAAGCAAACTTGCTTCTAGCAGAAAGATATTGCTAGAGTTAACAATTCAGCACTCATCCTTCCATCACCCTCCTATACTATCAATAAGAAAGAAGCAGCGTTCATCACGTTTGCCACTAATATGATCCAAACAGTCAAGGTAACGATACATACATTTTTTGAATACCTTCATCACATCTTTCTAGCCATGTTCACAGAATCTGATTAAATCTGATTAAAAAAAGACCCAGCAGCAGCCTTAAAGTAGTTTTGTGTTATCCTTGATTTTTTTTCTTTTCTGGCTTAGTGTATTATGTAAGCTTAGTGTCTTTTGAAAGCGTATGACTTATCAGTGACTTTTCAGTCAGCTTTTGGGTTCAGTTCAAAGTACTATTACTATAAATCCCCCTTTGGCCTAGGGATCAGCTATCTCTCCCATTGTTTCTGCCCACCTAGTAAAATCCAACCAGTGTTTCTGTCTTATCCATTAAGCAATTTCATCTGACAGCTCTTCTCTCTTGTGGTTCCTTTGGAGTAGAATTTCCTTCACACCTGAGGTTAGGATTGGAATGACCTTGCAAGCCTTTAAACAGTTGTTGGAAATCCTCCCCCTCTGAATTCTGGAATAATCTGGGGTGTGACTAACTGTGTCAGCTTTGATTAGGTTATGTCTACCCATCCCCGTTATATTTATTTTAATGTTATTTTGTTTTGTTTTTAGATATCAGCACAATGCAGTACACGACTCAGAGTCAGTGATTGATGGGTTGCTTTCTAAATTGAAATTATAAATACAAATACATCACAGAATTGGAAAGGACATTGGAGGTCTTCTGGTCCATGCCCCTGCTCAAACAGGAGACCCTCTACCCATGTTGGAGAACCTATGGCACGTGTGCTGGAAATAGCATGCTGAGCCACTTCTGACGGCACGGAAGAGCTCACCTAGAAGAGCCCCATTGCGCATACGCACGCACCGCCGCCGCCCGACAGCTGATTGTCAGGTATCTGGCCTATATTTGCAGGGGTGCGGGGTTGTACGGGAGACACACACGCATGTACAGAGATGTGCAGCATGCATGGGAGTTGTGCACGCATGCGCAGAGGTGCGCGGCGCAGGAGGTGATTGCGTACACATGCACAGACACATGGCGCACGGCAGGGGTGATCGTGCGTGCAGGCGTGCGGTGGGGGATCGTGCACGCTTGCGCAGGGGGTGTGAGGGGGCCAGCACGCATTGCCTTCTGGGCGCTGGAACGTAAGGGTGAGCACAGGAGAGCGCATGCAGTTATCGGCACAGGAGCCGAAAAAGGTTAGCCACCACTACCTTATACCATTTAACACAAATCTCTTTTTTAAAAATCTCCAGTAATGGAACATCCACAACTTCTGGAGGCAAGCCATGGCACTGATCAATTGTTGTCATTGTTAGGAAATTTCTGCTTAGTCCTAGGTTGGTTCTCTCTTTGATCAGTTTCCATCCATTGCTTCTTATTCTGTCTTCAGGTGCTTTGGAGACTAGGTTGACCCCTTCTTCCATATACCGTTCTCAGTGTTAACCGTTTAATGAGTTCCTGACTGTTTAATGGCTTAATGGTGGGGTACGGTACACGCGTGGCTGGGTGGGGCTGGAGGCAGGGGTGGGATTC